CCCAATCGTTTGCTCCTCATTAAAAGTAGAAGTTGCTTAGCTAAATAACAATGCATAGAAACAATATTCTCTCATGTTTTCCAGTAGAACTCCACGAGCATCCAAACATGTCTTTTCTTAGAAGGAGAAAAAATGAACATCTCACACACACTCAACAACGTTCTCTTCGAGCATTTTCTGAACGAAGTTATGGATTGGGAAAACTACTCTACCAGAAGATCACTTCAGTTGAAGAAACGTATGCAAAATCTGTATTCAAGGAAACTAAGCTAAGTGCTGAAATGAAACATTAGAAGCGACACCAACCACGTTTCCTCTGACCTTTTTTACTACGTATACGATGAACGCCTCGGCGATCGAAGCCCAATGAGCTTGTTTTAATTTCTGGAACGCGCATGAAAGCGCGAACAGAAACACCACCCACAACGCCCAGTTCATCTCTCTCTCTCTCTCTCTCTTTCGCAGACACAAGGCACAAGTAGGAAGACGGCAAGAGGGCGAGAATATGATTGACAGAATCAAACGCTTCTCTGGCAGGGACGATCCTAGAGGCTTGTGCAGTTATGCATTGAAAGGGAGAAACTTAGATACCCCTGACTATTTCCACGTTACCGTCAAGTCAACTATATACACCGTTTTCATCAAGGTCACTAATCTCAACTGCTTTTGCATATTTAACCGATTGCCGCCCAGTGGGGGCAATGTAATAAAAATAATAGTGCTATTTTCACGTCTACACGACTAAATCCACTCACTAGATAAGCAACATTGCCCTCGATAGTTTCCAGACTTACACAGGTTCCTTCGATTAAGGGTGTGTTTGTTTCGCAAAAAAATGAATGATTTGAAAAAGATTTTGCTAAAAAATGATGAATTGTATCGCTTACAGATATGAATGAACAAAATATAATTTCATTGTCCGCGAATATATTTAGATATAAGTTGTTGTCGATAATGTAATTTTGATTTTATTTCGGAAAATTTTTAACGAGAGATTTTTTTGTTTCATTCGGTTATCTCATTATATGTATATCAACGGCAACTGATAAAAAAGAGTTCAATAATGAGATACACAACAAAAATAAAATTTTACAAAACTGTGTTAAAAAGCTTCTAATTTTCAATTTTTTTTTCAAAATTCTACTCGACAAAGTAATCCAAAAATTTGCTTGACGTGGAAAAGAAATAGATTTCTTGGAAATTTCTGTCTTCAACAGACTAAAATGTACATAGATAATATCTAAAAACAAAAAAGAAGAAAACATAGTTCCTTTAATGTACATGGTAATATCCACTTACAATTAAAAAAGGAAATATGTTATATCTAAAATTTACATGTTTTAATGCCCGGTTTATATTTCCTACATAGAATTAAAAAGTAGAAAAAAAGGAAAATGAATAAATTTAGGATCCATCACTTTAACAGGCATACCAATTTATGATTTTTTGTGGTATTAACTTAATTTAATAAAAACTAATGGAGGGTAAATTTGTCATAAATGTACCAATTCGGAATTTTTAGTGGTCAAAAAATTAGTTTGAGATAAATTTATCACATGTGTACCAGTTTTGGGTTTTTCGTGATAAAAAAATTAGTTTATGATAAAATTATCACATGTGTACTAGTTTAGGATTTTTCGTGGTATTAACCCATTAAATAAACATCATTGGCTTCTCTTTTCTGGCAAGTCCAAGAAGGAAAAGGTGAAAGTGAAGTTCTCTTCTAAACCAAAGTACCCAGCTATTTAGGGCGCAAATGACAACCATTCTGTTCCAGAAACAATTCTTGGAACAGAAATAGATTTTTCTATTTCTGTTTCCAAGACGAGTTTCTGAGAAAAGAAATCCGTTTGATAACGATAAAAAATTTCTATTTCTAGAACAGAAACCCGTTTGACAACAGCATAAAATTTCTATTTCCTAGAATAGAAACCCGTTTGATAACAACACAAATTTCTATTTTCCGAAACAGAAATCCATTTTTTTAGAACCCCTTTTGGGGGTTAAACCTCTTTAAGGGTTTTTTAGGGGTTAAAACCCCTTTTAAATCCCTAAACTAAGGATTTTTCAAAATACCATTTGGGCACCTCAAAAAATTTAAATTTCACTAAAAGTAGGTGGCCACAAGTATTCTAAGCCATCCTGTGAAGTTTTGAAATTTTTTATTTTTTGATTTTTTTTTTGAAAAAATTCACCAAATTTCCTATTTTCCCGAAATATAACTTTTTTTATTTTCTGGAATTTTTTAATTTTTATGGATTTTCTGAATTTTTTTTAGACTTTTAGAAATTTTCCGGATTTTCTAAAATTTTTATGAATTTTATGAATTTTTTCTGAATTTTGTAAATTTTTTATGATTTTTCTAATTTTTTTTATTTTTCCACCGGGAATGAACCAGACCGAACCGGTTCGAATCAGTCTGACCATGTCAGACCGGGGCCAAATTTAGGAAGAGATGTGCTTTGAAGAGAGAAAACAGGTTTTTTTAAAAATGGTTTTCATTTCTCGTCCAGAAATAGAAAACCTACTTTTTTTTTGTTCTGATTTTTGGTCCATAATCACTTTTGGAACAAAAAGTTGTTCCAAAAATAGAAAAATGAAATTGCGTTATCAAACGGGTTTCTGTTCCAAGCCTGTTTCCGGGAACACAAAACTAGTTCTGGACAGAAACAGAATAATTATCATTCACGCCCTTAGGAGCTTACTTGGGACTGTTGTAGTTTCTTCTAGCCTCGGGAAAATGACTGGAAAGGCTCTGGACAGTGACGTGGACAGTCGTCGTCAGAGTCGATTAGATTAAGCATTTGTCGATTACGATGATTTGTTCGTGTTAATGTTTTGGTCGGTTGAGAAAGCAATCAATTAATATAAGTTTTTGTAATTGGAAGTGCGTTGCTTGCTGCAATCGATCCTTTGGAAGTTCAAATTTTTCAAATTAAAGTATGCTTAACAAGGATTGGGACATTTGTTAGCGCGGTCAAATCGATTTGGAGATAAGGGTGTAGGGCGACCGATGCCAAGCAGATTATACTTATCATCTAATTTGGTCGGTCCCTAATAAGGATTATTAAATTCGCTAAGCACAAAATTAAGGGATTGGATTAGTGCTTGTATAGAGCTGATGACTTTGTACGTAAAGTTAGAATGTGAATATTTCTCATATAAAAATCGAATAACGAATGAGACTAGAAAACACATAAAAAGAGCTCGTTTCTTTTGGTGAAAATAACAAATTAACTATGTAGAAAAAAAGGAAAATAACAAATTAGCTATTTAAGAGCTTAATCTAATCATTTTCCTTTATCATTGAGGCTGGTGAGCTCGGCCATCGCCGGCCCACGCTTGTGGCCGCTTGCCAACCGCTGCCAAGGCCAGCGACCAGCCGAGGGACGAAGATGGAAAAAGAAAAAAAGAAAAGCAAAAAAAAGAAAAGAAAAGCAAAAAAAAGAAAAATAAAATATTAACATATTTAAGATAATCAATTCCGGAAAAGTGTTTTCACCTTCTTAAAGTAGGGAATTCACTTTTCTGAATTTATACATGAATATTTTTCTTGACCGGAAAGTGTTTTTGGTTAACCAAATCATTATCGGACAACCAAACGAATGAAAAGCCCGGAAAACACTTTCCCGGAAAATAATTTCACCAAAACAAACGCACCCGGGGGCATTTGTTTTCATGGAAAACGTACCGTTCTTGGAAAATGTTTTCCGGAAAATCATTTTCCAGGAAAATGAGTTCATTCTTCGATGTTTGGCTAAAACCTAAAAACTTGGAAAGTATTTTCAGTTGTTTTGTGAGGAAAATCTGATGGTAAAAATTATCAAATTTTTTTGTATTTTTTAAACTATTTCAAATTATTTGTTATTTTAAAATTATTTTTATTAAGAAAAGAAAATGCATGAATGTTTTCCTTCTTAGAAAGAAAAGAAAAGAAAAGAAAAGAAAAGAAATAAAGAAAATAAAATAAAAAATATTAACAAATTCAAGATGAGTAATTCCGGAAAGTGTTTTCACCCTCTTAGATAAGGGAATTCACTTTCCTAAAATTAAACATGATATTTGTGTTGACCGGAAAGTATTTTCCGTTGATCAAATCATTTTCGAAGAATCAAACGGATGAAAGTCCAGAAAATACTTTCTGGGAAAACACTTTCACCAAAACAAACACACCCTTAAATATTATTTGAAAAAAGGAAAAGACGGAAACAGTTCAGGTCCCATGATCTCCAATGTATTAATCCTCAGGTTTCATGTAGGACGGACACGATTAAACAAGGGGAAAATTTTGTTTACACGTAATTTATAAAGTAATGAATGATGTGGTGGAGTGAATCAATCACGACGTTTAAATTTCATGTTTTTTTTTAAAATGCACTGAGCATGAATCTTGACAATTCTTGAAGCGTGATCAAATCATTTTAATGGATGTGACCCTCCACGAGGGCTTCCTACGTTGATATCGGGTAAGTCCGAATTAAATATGAGCATAAAGATATGAACCGCGGGTATCCGAAGATGAGATCAACGCAGCATCACCACGCACGCCTTGATTCGTGAATCAAGTTAAAGGGGGTAAAGTGATGGACCCGTCATCTTCGTGATGTCAAGATGATTTCGTGAAGAATTGGGCTCTGTGCTAGTTGACCTTGCGTTTTCACTTGGGCAACAGAGACTTGCATGAAAAGTTGCCGAGTCAATGACTGCTCCTGCTCACCCCGTTTCTGCAGCCAACCAATCCCCTCCTCCTTTTGCATGCCCGCGCGACACAGAGAAAGAGAGATGGAAAGATGTCCGGTGTCATTTGATTAGGGGGAGACTAATAAACACGACAGTCCAGAGAGAGAGAGAGAGAGAGAGAGAGAGAGAGAGAGAGAGAGAGAGAGAGAGAGAGAGAGATGGATCCTGGAAACGCCTCACATGGCCGAATCAGGAGAAGGATCACTGGCCTGGCCAAGCTGATGTCGTCAACCTGGAGGGTTTTGGACTTTTCCAAGGGAATGGACCGAAACGTGAAGGCACTGGCTTCGTTTTTGTTGCTCTTGTACTTCTTATCGGTGATGTGGCTCCTACCTTCGAGGTCATTTGCCGGCGGGTTCCAAATTGGTCATTCATGGGACATATTGATCTCCCCGTTCCTAATTAGGATGTTGGTATCCAGCTTCCGTGGCCGAAGAAGGAGTACGGGCCTACTACACAAGCGGATGCAATCAGCTTTGATGGTTTTGGAGACACTGGCTTCCTTGTATGTGGTCTCGGTCGTGTTATCGAATCTGTGTGTCTACCTTTGGGAGAAGTACACCGGCGAGATTGAGCTTGATCCTGACATGGAGGTAGAGAAGTTGGCATTGGCGCTCGTGGTTTGGGTGGTTGTATCCGCCTTACACATCCGAATCAGGAGAAGGAACTCTGGCCTGGCCAAGCTGATGCAGTCAGCTGTGATCGTTTTTGCCTATACCTTCATTTTATGGGAAGTTGACATGGAAATAGTGGCTCTCGCTTACATTATCTGGCTTGCAATATCGGTGCTTGGTCTCCCCCTTTGGATAGAGGTTACCGGTGGGACTGAGCATCTGCGAGAGTGGGGCATGGGCCTGTTTGGGCATTTTGCACTTCTTGATCCGAGTATCTTCACTTATGCGAGGGTTACTGCGGTTTGGATTATTCTCTATGCCTTTTACAGCGAATGCGAAAGGCTGGTGTGGGACGGCATGGATACAGCACCCAAGGAGGTGCGTGATATCAATTTACGCTTCCGAGCTGAATTATGAACGTACAGTTAGTTTATTTTTCTGGTGCGATGACTTTTCAGACTTGGTAATGTTTGTTGAGTTGATTGTTCGGCTTTTTTCTTTTTCTACAGGTAGCATCCTCCTTGTCGATTTCTGCCTTGGCTAAGAAAGAGTTCCGTGTTTTCTTGAGTGTCAACAGAGGACCAGATGTCCGTGATGAGTTTATAGACTTCCTAATGGTTCACCTGACGAGATCCGGGATCTCCGTCTTTGGATTAGGCAAAGAACTGCCTGAGGGGGAAGAGCTGGTTGAAGTGATCAAGCGATCAAACATATCCATTCCCATCATATCCAAAGGCTACGCTTCCTCTGAAAGTTGCCTCATTGAGTTGGGTCTACTGTTGGAGTGCAGAAGAACAAACGGCCAAACGATCATTCCCATTTTTTACGACGTCGATCCATCGGATGTGCGATATGTCACGGGTTCTTTTGAGTTGTCCTTGAAGATGCACCAGATGAAGGGAACAGATGGCCAGACAATCCGTGCATGGGGAAGGGCTCTTCGTGAGGTTGGGGGTTTAAAGAGATTTTACTCTGCAGACAACAATTCTTGGTAATTCAATTGTAGCTGATTTCACTTTATATTTTCTTAGGACCTTCTCTATATAGGATTTATAGTCTTCTGACAGAGAGAAGAATGGCTCTGAGTGAACATGCCGTCTGCAATGTTACATTCAAGATCATGGGTCTCGCAACGAAACCCACCTGTCCATTGCTCTTTTCGTGCATTGCTTTGTTTACGAAGGCCCGATTGAGTGCATAATTTAATTCATTTCTGCTTTCTCTCTTTGCAACTGCCATCTTTTTTCTTAATTCCTACTCCTATCCCTAATTCTGATTTAGCAGGTCTAATTACAAGCTTTTAAAGCAATTCCTCTTAGATATGCTGCAAATGTTCAGTAAGTGGGACGTCGAGGAAAATTTGGTCGGAATTCAGGATCGAGTACAAGAGGTCATGACAAAGCTTGGTGTTAACTATAGAGATGGACAATCAGTTGGGTTACGTGGCGGGGATGTCCGAGTAGTTGGAATCTATGGCACTGGTGGGGTTGGCAAGACAACCCTTGCAAAGGTTATTTATAAAGACATCGCTTCTCTCTTCGATGGCTGTAGTTATCTCGAGGACGTTCAAGAAAGGTTTGCACAATATGAAGGACTCAAATCTTTGCAAAATCAGTTAATTTCCGATCTGCTAAAGCGAAGCTGCCCAAAGTTTACTTATGAAGAAGGTGAGCACATCATCAGACATAGATTTCATAGCATGAGAGTTCTTATTATCCTTGATGATGTCAATCACCATTCCGAACTCAAACCATTCATTGGGAAGCTCAGTTGGTTTGGTCCAAGAAGTAGGATCATTGTGACTACGCGAGATTATGGTCTTATCAATGTCCCTGAAGTGGCAGAAAGATATGAAGTTGAACCTCTGAAACCTGATCAAGCTCTTTTTCTCTTTCGGAGGCATGCTTCTGATGTCCTGCCTTTCCCAGAGGGCTATGATTCTCTGTTCGATGAAATTATTTCTGTAACTCGACGAATTCCTTTAGCAATTGAGGTTCTAGCTTGTCTTTTATGCAGAACGCCCACAACACTATGGCAACATACCTTGAAGATAATGAGTAACCATGTTGATCCAGTCGAAGGCGTGTTGATGGCAAGCTTTGACTTTCTTAATTATGCGACCAGAGAGATATTATTGGATATAGCATGTTTCTTTGTGGGAGAGGATATTGCCAACCCCTTTTCCATGTGGTGTGCTTGCGGCTATGATCCTCTTAGTGGAATCAAAGTTTTGCTCGACATGTCCTTGGTGCAAATTGGAGAAAATAACAAACTATGGATGCATGATCAGCTGAGAAATCTTTGTCAGCAAATGGTCAAGACTGAAGATCCCGAAAGGCCTGAAAGGCGCAGTAGGCTATGGAAACATGAGGATGCAGTTTCGGTGTTGAAGGAAAGGAAGGTACGCCCGTGCGGGACAAATGATTTCTTGAGTTGAGTGTCTCGTGATTAAAAGAATGATATTGTTGTATTAACTTACTGTTTCATTGGACAGGGAACTGAAAGGGTTCAAGCCCTCAATCTCAAGTTTGATGGTAGGCGCAATGATGGCTCTCCATCTGAAGAATTTGAGCTTCTGCCAGGCCTGAGGTTGCTCAAATTGGGTAAAACCAGAATCACAGGAGACTGCAAGAATTCCCCATCGAATTTAAGGTGGCTTGATTGGCAAGGATGCCCTGAGATCTTTGGAGATTGTGATCTGCATCTAAAAGAGTTGGTCATTCTTGATTTATCATGGAGTAAGGTTGCGCATGACTGGAAAGGATGGAATCAAATCAAGGTAACTATGAAGAGATTTATTGGCTTGATTCAATTTGATGCCAACTTTATCTGGACTTTTCTTTTGTTTTGCAGATGCCACAGTTGAAAATTCTAAATCTTACAGGATGTACTGGCCTATTGATGACTCCTGATCTCTCTGGCTTCGAGAAGTTGGAGATACTAATTCTCGAGCATTGTTCTCGGTTGGTGAAGATTGATGCTTCAATTGCTCATCTAAAGTGCTTAGTCACCTTAAATTTGAAGTTCTGCGGTGAACTCTGCATGTTGCCAAAAGAACTTAACGATATGAAAGAAATGAAGGAGCTTCTAATAGATGGAACTTCTATAAAGGAAATTCCCAGCACCCTGGCCATTATGAAGAAACTTAAAAGTCTCAGTGCATCCAATTGCTTCTCTCTGAATAGCCTGCCCGAGTCCATCGGTCTGCTGAAAGATCTTTCAGTGCTCTTGCTGGATAGTGCGAAAATTGTTGAACTTCCCGACTCGATTGGAGAGCTGGTGCAACTGAAGCAATTATCTTTGAGAAACTGCCGTTGTCTAGGGGAGCTTCCAGACTCGATTGGTGAATTGGGAAGCACTTTGATCGAGCTGGATGTGTCAGGGACAGGTATTTCCAAATTGCCAGGTTCAATCAGGAACCTGCGGAGCTTAAAACTACTGAAAATGGACTCATGTTTCATTAGAGAATTCCCTCGTGATATTGGAAGGCTAACCAACCTCGAAGAGATCCGTGCCTGGCGGTGTAGGAGCTTGGAAGGTGACATTCCGAGTGATATCGCGGAATTGAAATCTCTGAGGATCTTGGTTCTAGGATATACTCGTATTTCCAGCTTGCCATCAGGCATCCAGTCGCTTTGCTGTCTTCAGACCCTTGATTTACTCCACTGCGACAGGATTGAAGTATTGCCAATACTCCCCTCTAGCCTCACTCGCTTGCGTGTGATTTCTAGGAACATGAAGGTCGTGCCATTCATCGATCACTTGACAAAAATGGAAGAGTTGTGCCTTGGTGATGAAGATCCCGAGGAACTAGAACTACCCTCAGCGCAGAGGATGATGAATTCCATCCTGACCAGGGAGGCGGTTACCTCCCTTCTTTGGCCCAAAAGGTTTCCAAGGCTGAAGGTGTTGGAATTGTCTCATTCACGGATCACTGACATTCGCTTAAGGGACGAATGTCTTCCTCAGATCACGAAACTTGTTGTGTCGGGCGCAAACCTCAGGAGAGTACCGCAACTTCCGTCCACATTGTCATTCCTGTCAGTTCGAGGCTGTTTGTCATTGAAAAGATTGCCGACCATTCAATGTTTGAAAAGTTTGACCGAATTGCGGCTCTCACACTCTGCCATAAGAGAGGTTGAAGGGCTTGGAGAGCTAGAAGCGCTGGAGATCATAGATATATCTCACTGCGAAATACGGAGTCTTGACGGGCTCGACCAGTTAACTTCCTTGATAAGTTTGATGCTGTCGGACTGTGATCATCTCCAAAAGTTGCCCAACATATCAAACCTGAAGCGGTTGAAAGTTTTAGAAATCCGCCGATGCAGGGAGATAAAAAATATACAAGGTCTTCAAGTAATAAGATCGACTTTAGAGAAGCTGCATGTAGGTTAACGCGAGGATGAAAACTCGCCGGAGGTATAGGAGGCCTTGAGCAGACGGGCTGGTTCCGCTTAAGTGGCTTTGGGCATGGTAGGTTCTAATTTCTTGATCTATATTCTATACGTTCTGAAACCGATTACCTCTGGCATGTAAAGCGAAATACTGTTCATGCTTTAGAAGGGTAAATATTTCCCGATGTCTCATCCCTAGATGCCCATTTAATATTTCATTTCACGGGAAGTTCTTCTGTGTCGCTTAGGTTGTACTAGAGAGAGGATACACCAAAATTGCTTGTTATCCTATCTCAACTCAAATCCTGATGATCAAATGCAGCCAAAAAGAGAAGAGATGGCGAAAAGGAAAAGGTGGGTAAGGGGGAAAAAAAGAAAAACGAGAAGATTAGGTGGGTGGGCAAAATTGCCACATGAACTACTTTACTTTTATATTAGGAAAGTGAATAAATTTGAGGTTTACCACTTAAATGTCAATAGGATGATTAGTATATTTTTGTCCCAATAGGATGGATTTAAGCATATAGGGAGTTGAAATAGCCTCACCAGTCAAGGACTGGTCTAATATTAATATTGGTCACGAACGATAACATTTGAAGTTATTTGAAGTCGAGTGAAATTTTTCCTTGAAGTTTTGAGATTTGCAATATTCTTTTCGTATCAAAAGAAAAACCACGAGCACTCTTGAAAAAATCAAAACAAAAAGAAGCTCATCGTTAAAATTTGAAAACACACCTTTTGGCCATACACCATGTGAGTTTAGTCACAAGAGATTAATTGTTTAATTTTAATCTGAACTAAAAGTTTGATCCCGTTTCATAGTTTTGGTAGCTTCTTACTTTTCGTATCACATACATATTGAAATTGCACCATTGTAAAATTTGAGAGGGCAACATCCAAAATCAACCGCAAGATGTTGCAGCTCTGGTGTATTGTGGCCGTTATACTTTCTAAAATCTTTTAAATGTGCAGTAGTGTCCTTTTCACGTCTCTTGTTTGAATTGTTTGTAATGTCCAGTCGAGGAGATGTGACATTCATTAAATAGGATATGCTGGTCACTGAGTTATAATGTTCCTAACTTAATAAATGAATAAGGCTGCCATATTTCCACCCAAATTTAGGCTAAGACATTCCTTTCTTCAATCAACCGACCGAAATACCCTTCTCTATCTTCAATTTATTGTTTCTTTTTTTTTATTGACCTAATTAGCAAAAATACCTTTTATTTCTATTATCTCTCTTATCTTATCGGTTTCATAATATAAATGTCAAATTACACATAACAAGATATTATCTTATCCTGCATTCTATTATCACTTTGCCTAAAGAAAGTCGTTAATTTTAATTTATGGATCATATTTTTAATCTCAAAAGTTACGTAGAAGGTTAGAAATTTCTTGTTATGATGGCTTCTGAGCACACAATTAATTGCATATCTTTCATCAAATAAGTTGAGGGAAACTTTATTTCAAAGTTGAAAATTAAAATTTAAGCATTGCTGATTTTTGCTTTCTTTCATCAAATAAGTTTATAGGTTTCAAAAAAAGACCAACTACATTCCACCGTTCCTTGCTCCGTCGCGAATCGGTCGCGACTGCACTGGCGCGGCCAACGGAGCAAAAGAACCACAGCGCCGGCGGATAAGAACTGCTTACCTTCCAAATCAAAGACCGCGCGATCCGGGCAAGATCCGAGCCCTAGAGCTCCTCTGGCAGCGAGGCGATTAATCGAGGAGATCGCAAGATCCGATCGGAAGGTGTAGAAGGAAGGAAGAAGGAGATGAAATCGCTGCTTCGTGGCGATTCTTGATGGCCAAAATGTACGAATTGGAATGTTAAATCTTGTTGTCACGAGGTCTATAAGGTCTATTGCTTTGCCCATGAAATATGTGGCAACCCCAAAGGTGGGTCCACAAATCCACAAAAAAAAGGATGAATTTTCCTTTGATAATTCACCCAAAAAAAAAAAAAGAAGGGAAAATGACAAGTAGTCTATGAACTTTGGCCTAATGTGCAATTTGATCCCTGAACTTTTAATTTGTTCAATGTAGTCCCTAAACTTTAAGCTAATATGCAATGTGGTCCCTAAATTTTTAATTTGTTCAATGTCATCATTGAACTTTTGTTGCATGTTCAATTTGGTCCCTGAACTATATGAAAATGTTCAATGCAATGTTCAATGTAGTCCCTGAACTTGAATTAATGAAAAGGACTGCATTGAACATTTTCATATAGTTCAGGGACTGAATTGAACATGTACCAAAAGTTTAAGGATGACATTGAACAAATTAAAAGTTCAGGGACCACATTGAGCATTAGCTTAAAGTTCAAGGACTACATTGAACAAATTAAAAGTTTAGAGATCAAATTGTATATTGGGTCAAAGTTCAGCAACTATTTGTGTAATTATCCCAATTTCCCTATGTATTCGCAACAAAAAGTAAACATTTTCATATAGTTCAAGGACTGAATTGAACATGTACCAAAAGTTCATGGATGACATTGAACAAATTAAAAGTTCAGGGATCACGATGCACATTAGCCTAAAGTTCAGGGACTACATTGAACAAATTAAAAGTTCATGGACTAAATTGCACTTTGGGCCAAAGTTCAGAGACTGTTTGTGTCATTATCCCAAAAAAATAGTGCAGTGTTGATAATTTGTGTCACATTATTTTAATATTTTTGTGTCGTTATCCCACAAAAATAATAGTGCAGTGTTGATAATTTGTGTCACTAAGATAGGGTTTATTTTAATATGTTTTTCTTGAGCAAGAAGTTACTTTCGATCTAAGTTTAATGAGTTGCCTTTTATATGTTTGAATTGGCGCGTTCCGAAAAATTTCGGGATTTGGTATCAAATAGGGATTTGATAGTGAAGATATTTTAAATATAAGATCTCAAAAGTGAAATTTGTATCTATATAATAAGAAAAATGCGGTCGTTAATTTGCACATTAGCTATAAATTATACTTCTAGCAATAAGTAGATTTTCTCAAGATAACATTGTTTAATTGGTGATGAATCAAATAAGTAACCTGACAAAGTGGGATTAATTATGACTAGACTCAACGCGCGCTGCTCGCGCTGTCGACTCCGAATTTTGGCCGGAGATGCCGATTAAAGTTTTAATTAAAAAGAAGTAGAACTTTTTTTTTTTTTTTTACATTTGTCTAACTACATTTAGATAGTGCAGGGCGACGATTAATTTTGGTTTTCGAATTTAGGCGAGGCAGCCCTCGCCTGGGCGGGCGCTCAGGCGGGCGGGACGACCTCGCACAGGTCGGGCGAGCATCCTCGCCCGAGCGCCCGGCGAGGCGACCCTCGCTGCGTCGAGTGAGGGCGACCCTCGCCTACGTCGGGCGAGGGCGCCTCGCCGGATCTGGCGAGGGCGACCCTCGCTGCGTCGGGCGAGCGACCCTCACTGCGTCGGGCGAGGGCTGCCCTCGCCGGCATTGGGCGAGGCAGCCCTCGCCTGGGCGGGGGAGGCAGCCCTCGCTTGGGCGGGCGAGGGCAACCCTCGCCTGATCTGAAAATTTTAATAAAAAAAATTAATAACAATTCGAAAAAATAAAAAATAATATGAAAATTTTAATTCAAGGTAAAATTGTCATATATGTACCAGTTTGGGGTTTTTTGTGGTAAGTTCAGGGTAAAATTGTCACAGGTATACCAGTTTGGGGTTTTTGGTGGTCAAAAAAATAGTTCGGGGTAAAATTGTCACAGGTGTACCAGTTTGGGGTTTTTTGTGGTCAAAAAAATAGTTTGGGGTAAATGTGTCACAAGTGTACCAGTTTAGGGTTTTTCGTGATATTAACCCTTATTATTATTATTGTTTTAGGTTTCCATCGTTTCCTTCTCCGTTTTTGTTTTCTTGGCTTTATTTAGGATTAGAAAAGTTAAAATCCTCGAATACGAGAAAAGAAAAAACGAACAAATTATGTACCACGAAATAGATGACATCGAGTAAAAAGAAATATTATTCGATAAGTAAAATGAAATCAAAGATCTCTTACATTTCGAAGGATGAAGAAACACATGAAGCATTGGCCTTGTGACAAATGGCATCACGACTTCTCGCCCGTTTCGCTCAAATCAAATTGCTCTAGATGGACTCTCCGCCTACCTAAAAAGATTAGCGAAGTTGCTTTCATCACTAATAACTTGGGATCGCATGGGGGTCATGACTCTTTCATCACTCGCATCTTTGATTGAATTGTTGATCTCGTCTTCGTCGCTAGCATTATTTTCATTAGCGAAGTTGCTTTCAACACGAACTCCATCCATCTTAACAAGATAAAAGAAAGAAAAATCAAGCACCATAAATGTGTGTGTATATATATATATATTTGACATATACCAACTAAAATTAGGCATCGAAGGATACCACAGAAATAAAGACTAATGACCATTTCTCCACGGTCATGTGTCAATCGATTACGAAATCCTAAAATAATAAGAAGTTTAAGAGTTGCAATTGCATTCTTCATATATTACTTCTCGTTCGAATATTATCACCTTGACTTGTTTTTCAAAATAAAACAGATAAAAAAAATAAACAAATCTCATCGCGTTCCTTTTTATAATAGCGGAAATCCCACCATTTGGTCGACAAAAAAATTATGAAACCGGCAAAGCTTGCACCCCGCCCGTTCCCAACTTCAAAACCGGTGGCTCACATTCCACGGCCATTTTGTAAAATGGTACGGTCAACAACTGGCCTACAAGGTCAACGCAATATTTTGGAGATCGAAGCTTTGGAACTAGCTTCGGCCTTAGTTCTCTGTATTTCTTCGATGTAATGGAATGCTGGAAAACCAATTGCTCTGTACAGCTCCGTTTTTTTTTTTTTTTCGCGGCAAATGTTTTCCTTATTTTTCGACGTTTGATTCACTTAGGAAAATGAATCAACGGATAACCTATACTTAAATGAAGAAAAATGATTTCCTCTATAAAAAATCGAAAATCATTTTTCAAAATATGACTAAATATTAACATTTAACTTTAAACTCTAGGGCACAGAAACCTCAATGCTGGTTCCCGGATCCCTGGCATCTAGAATCAAGTCTACAACACCCAGACACGGATCCATCAAGGCCAGGTCTGTGACCCTACTGCTGGGATCCCGGGCGCTTGGGTCCATCAAGGCCCAGTCCGGAAACCCAGTGCACATGCCCGGGTCCATCGAGGCCCGGCCCGAAGCCTCGGTGCCTGTGCTCGATGCCCCGGCACCCAGGCGTGGGTTCATAAAGGCTGAGTGTAGGATCCCGGTACCCAAGCTCGGATCCTCACACCCCAGCTCGAGTCCACAAAGGCCATCCCCAAGTCCACAAGGGCCGTGCTCGGGTCCATCGAGGCCGTGCCAAGGACCCTGGTGCATGCGCTCGGATCCATTGAGGCCAAGCTCGGGACCTAAGTGCCCGTGCCCCAATACCCAGTGCCCTGGTGGGGATCCATCGAGGTTGGGCCCGAGACTCTAATGACCGTACCTGGTTCCCCAGCTACCCAAGCACCCGAATAGTTTGTCTATTTAAGAAAATCAAATCAGATTTTTCATACTAGGACGGAAAATATTTCTTAGTTAATTTTCGAGTTTCAACCAAACAGTGGAAAATAGTCATTTTCCTGGAAATCGACTTCATGGAAAATATTTTCCAAAAATGTCACATTTTTCACGAAACAAACGGAGCCTACGATCGGTTTAAATTTTGCAGAGCATCTACAGAGAAATAGTGGCTTCATATATTTTCTTCGATGAGAAAAGCCGTCGGTAATTTTGGATATATGAAAATGTGAGTACTTAACTCAATCTGTTCACTTTGCGAGGAAACGTTCCTGGTGCAGGCTAGCAAATTTCATTTTCTGTGCATCAGCCAGTTCGGTGAGGTGATCCTGATGTATTGGATCCAGTTGATCAATAATGTCGACAATCTTTGTCCTGTCATTCAAGCAAAATGTATTCACGGACATGCATATCTACTCGGAAAAAAAAGTTGTAAGAGTAAGAAAAAAGTTTAACGCAATCCAACATGAGCATCGGTACATGAACAGATGCTGCAAATTGTACTGATAATCTTGGACTGCCACAAAGAAAGACGTCTATTACGAACTGGATAACGATGTTAAGGACAACAACAGAGTACACTGCAGTACACGTGCAGGGACAAGAGTTTCGAAGTTACTGCCAACACGAACCAACTGGGACTAACGGAAGCAGCGAATCATTGAAACAAGAGAAACGCAATAGTTACCGCCTTCTTGCATTTGAAATGAATCTCCTATTCAGTGTCCCAGCCAAATCACCACCTATCCTCTCTCATAATTATGGAATTGAGTTCTCGATAGCAACTTTACCGTCGCCTCTTACATGAAATGGGTGAAATCTGTCAACCACCATTTCTCCCCATTGCTGCAAATACCATTATGCTCCCGCTCAGACAATTCCAACTGCAACAATTTCAATAATCTGTCCAAGAGAAGATCGTAGACCGCGGCAATTTAGAGAAGCACAGTATTTATTTAATCACATAAGGTTATTTATACTGCAGAAAAATGGTTTCAGAACTAAGCCTAGTTCTAAAAATTCCAGAATCAGGTCTCTGTTGCCTTCTTGAACCTTGGGTTACTAATTGGTGGGAAACTAGGCAACACTAAACAATAATGAGTTCAATTGGCAAGTATGTCTCATTGAAGAAGATCTAGGATCTAATCAGATATTTGCCTTTTCGAAAGACTCAACAATCCAGCATTTTCCCCTTAACTTTGGCTGCATGAATCTAGTTGAGCTAAGAATACGACTTAAAAATGAACTTCATGTTTCTTGAAAGGCTAAAATCTGAGGTTCGAAAATTAGATTAATTCCTCCCCAAACAGTCATTTTGCAGTAGCTCAGAGATTCTTACCACTTTGGTACAGGATCATCACCAAAGTACCACCCCTCTACAATGGTCAGGCAAGACAGTTCCAAGGCTGTGCACATCTTTCTGCAAGCCTAGCAGAGGATGATTACACTGGAGCGAAATTTTGGCAGAGCCTGAAGCTTCTTGCAGTAACGCAAATCAACCATTTGGAGATTTAAGAGGCAACAGATGCTCTCAGGCAAGTGGGAAATTCGGGCATAGGATAATTTTAGGACTCTCAAAGAGGATAATCCCACAAGATCACAGTCCATCTGAATCTCCAAATTCCGGCAGAGAGAAAAATCTATCTCTTCCAACTTTGGCAGATTTTGTATTGCTTCAGGAAATTTTCCTATGTGAGTACCTTCCATCTTCAGCACTTTCAAATTTGCCAAAAGCTTGACTGAATGAGGCAATTCATCAACTCCGGTGTTTGATAGGTCCATAAACTGCAGTTCCTTGAGCTTTCCAATGGATCGTGGAATTTCAGTTAATTTCCGACAGTTCCTTAAAGATAGGCGTCGAAGTTTCTCCAGTGACCCAATGGAAACTGGGAGGGTCTTTATAGCAGCTCCATCCAGTGCAAGATTAGAGAGAGATTGTAAGTGATCAATCTCATATATTTGTTCTAACCTTACACACTTGCAAGCACTAAGAGTTTCAAGCTGTTCCATAGAACCTTCTTGGAAACGAATCGTATCAATAAAAGTCCCATCAATCACAAGCTCTTTTAAGGCCTTCATGAAACCCAGATCTGGCAACTGGTCCACATTACAAGACTTCATATTTAACGAAACTAAGCAGCTTAGATTGCTAATGGATGGGCTAATCAAGGATAATTTGGAACAACATTCCAGAATCAATCTTTCTAGTTTAATTGGAGCACGGAATTCTGGAGATTCAAGTAACTCAAGACACCCCGTTAGGTTCAAAACTTTCAATTTCTTCGCGTTCTGCAAATCAATGAGACAATAAAAAAGAATGAGTTCTTGAAAATTGTATGATCACAAGATTAACAAAAAAATGTAATTTCTACCTCTCCTATCAGCTCCCAACCACTCCAACCTTGATTTACCCGGCTCCATGACAGATCAAGAATGATCAAGTTTTCAACTTTGAAAAAAGGAAGTCCCAAGGTCTTTTGAGGACATATTTGCCAATCTAACCATCTTAAGTTTGAAAGAGGATTCTGAATATTGCCCTCGATATTTGCACAGTCCAGTTTAAGGAACCTTAAGTTCCGCAGAGGATAAAATGCTTCGCAAGTGAAAGAAACATCAGTTTCACGATCAAACCTGAGTCCAAGTGCTTGAACTTCTTTAGTGCCCTGGGAATTAATCAAAAGTTAGCTGGATGAAAAAACCAACAAGAAAACCTGGAAGATGATCATTTCATTTTCTTGTCCGAATTAAAACGAATGACTAAAAGACAAATAAATCGATAAGAGAATCAACTTTGTCCACTCAAGGAATATTTGTTGTCCTTGCATTTACCTTCCTCCCATTTAGTGTGTCTAATGCTTCCTCGTGATTCCACAACCTGCTTCGCCTGCAAGGCTCTTCGGGGTTCTCCTTCCGTACTTTATCCCTACCAAAGTTTCTTAATTGCTCATGCATCCACAACTCGTTATTCTCTCCAACCTTCACCAAAGACCTAACAAGAAGCGCTTCAATGCCCTCTAGAGGAAAAAATTTACAGTCATCCCACATGTAAATGGCAATTCTCTTGTCTTTTCCAATAAGAAAACATGCTATATCCAGAAATATCTTTTTCTGAGTTTCATCTAAATCTTCATAACACATACTCAACACCTTTTCAACTTCCCCGGGAGGAGCATCTTTCAATTTCTCCAGTGTATCATCCCACACTTCGTTTGGTTTTAAAAATAAGCAAGAACCCACAGCTTCAAGAGCTAAAGGAAGCCGACCAGTAGCTGATATAATGGCGCTAGAAAGACCATGGTCAACCTTTCCGACAAAATCCTTCCCGAAAGCATGCTTACCAAAAAGTTCAAGAGCATGACCTTCTTCCATTGCCTCAACCTCATATTTTTGAGCTGTTACTTTGACCTTCATAAGGACATCTTGTTTTCTAGATGTCACAATAATTCTGCTTCCAGGACCATAACCCGTAAGGTCACCTGCAATCTGAGTAAGCTGTTCAGAATCACCCACGTCATCAAGAAAAATGAGAACCTTCGTATGGCTGAATCTGTGTTTGATAAAGTGCATAGCCTCATCAGAAGTACGGAATTTTAGACTTCCCCTATTTATTAGTTGAGAAACCAAATTACTTCGCAAAGTCTTGAGCCCTTCAACCTGGGCATACCTTTCTCGAACATTCTCGAGATAGGCACAGCCATCAAAGAGATGATAGAGTCGGTTGTAGACAACCTTTGCAAGAGTAGTTTTGCCAATCCCAGGAATACCACATATTCCAACAACGCATCCCTCGTCGCCAATTGTTTTAACAGCTTGTCCATCACGAAAGACAACATCAAGCTTACTCATAATCTCTTTTACATGATGGTCGATTCCAACTAGATAATCAGTCACGACTAGGTCAGGCTTCTTTAATCGTCGCAAGACGTCTGAGACGACTAGCTGTGTGAGCTTGCCATGATGCCTGCCAACATAAGAAATAAGAGAGAGCTATGATGACATGAACTTTAAATGACTTGACAGTAGACCAAACGTAAGATAGGGAAGATTGAGTTAAGACATGGCTATACAATGTATGAAAATAAGTAACACACCATTTAAACCATAGTTGTTCATTTAATAAATGATATCAAAGTCGAATTTATCCTAGCATTGGTTTTAGGTAAGGATAACGGAAACTAGTATATTCTTTGAGAAATCCTTTTACAGTTTATAACTAATCGAAGATTTGGTGAAACGGTAACAAAATCATCATGCAAGACTAATCCCTTTGAGGGATTAAGTGTAGTATTGGGTATTGACTAAATGATCTATGAAAGAAGTTGGCCTATTTCACTAGGATACGATCATGTAAGTATCTGTTTTGTACCCTCAGCTTTTAGTTTTGATCATTCGGCATGTTCAGAAGGCCCACAGGAAAACAGACACGACAGCAATACATAATTACGAAATTTCTGACTTTTTGTTTAGGGCCATTGAAGGTCTCACAATTCCTGAACTCTGATCAGCTTAACCTGTGACAAGATCTTAGACGTAATATTTTCAGTGAATGAGTAAATTGGGACCATGAGTGCATTTTGCTCAAGACAGAGCCGTGTAGTATGAGACAAGAGCAGCGGAGATTGGATTACCCATCATTCATTTCAGCCAAGTTCAACCCTTTCATTTCTCCAATATCTCGGAGAGCCTTCTTCCACGCATTGATCCTCTCCCTGCCAACTCGCTCATTCTTAACAAGTTCATAAAAGGACTCTCCAAAAGACCCCGTAAGGTGTTTTACATCAGAGATATCAACGTGATAGAAAATGGGAATGATCATTTGCTCATCGTTTTCTCTGCACGCCAACATTTGCTGCAGCTCCATGAGGCAGCTTTTGCTGGAAGCATAGTCCTTCGAGATGATGGGTATGGCTATCTTCGATTGCTTGATCGCCTCAGCGAGTGACGGCATGATCTTTTCTCCAACAGGGAGCTCTTCATTGTCTCTGAAAACACGGATCCCCTTTTCTGTGAGGCTGGTATAGAGGTAATCTGTGAATCCCTTCCGGGTGTCCGGCCCTCTGAAGCTCAAGAAAACTTCGTAACTTGCCGAAAAGGTGACAGAAGCCGGTGAAGATGCCGGCGATTCGCATGATTCCTGTCAAATCAAGGGACCAGACTTTATTCCGTAACATGTAGATTCCTACCTAGAGGAGCTCCCATTTTTCATTAAAAGTAAAAGTTGCTAAGTCAGATTGACAATGCATAGCATAACACTCTCTCGTATTATCGATTGAAACTCCAACAGCATCCAAACATCTTTCTACTAAAAAATTGAAGATCTCAAACGAACTCAACAACGTTATCCCTTGCTCGAGCATTTTTTTTTCCGGACCAACCTGCGAAATGGGGAAAACTACGCTACTAGACGATCATTTCAGTTGAGACCAGTACTCGAAGAACAAAGCCAAGTGCTGAAATTAGAAACTGGGATGCGACACCCACCGCGTTTCTTCTCCGCTTTCTTGCCAAGTCAACGATGACCGCCGCTCCGTCCGTAAAAAGAAAAACGACGACCGCCACGGCGATCGAAGCCGAGAGAGGTCGACTTCGTATCTGGAACGCGCACGAGAGCGCGGCGAACAGTAACGCCACTTTCCACGCCGAGTTCATCTCTCTCTCTCTCTCTCTCGCAGACGCAGGGCACGAGCAGGAGACGGCAAGAGCGAGTGGGAATGTGATCGACAGAGCGTGACTCTCTTCTCTGGAAGGCAAGATCCTAGGAGAACTTTGTGCAGGTAAGCACGGGGGAGTTTCTAAGACCGCGTGTGGGACTTTGGGCATCGTCAGGTCAACATTACACCGTTTCAATAAAAGTTGCTAAAATCTCGGCCGGCCATTCAATTTTGTCACTTTCCCTTTTTTGTTTTTTTTGGTCGGACGTCACTTTCCCTTGTTTAACCGATGGGAAAGTGATATATTAAAAAGGACGCGGCTTTTTTTTCCGCCTTACATGATTAAATCCACCCCTTTTTGAACTCGCTTAAAATAATTAATTAACGAAAAATATTTACATTATTAATAATAAAATATTACATAAAAGTCATCAAAAATTCTAAATTAGACCCATTATGATATATTTACTCCAAATTTTTTTGTGACACCAAAAACCCCCAAATTTGTACCTATGTGACATATTTATCCCAAACTTGTACAGTGTGACATATTTATCTCAAACTTCTTCTTGTGACACCAAAAATCCCAAACTTGTATCCATGTGACACTTCTCCTTGGAAATTCTCTTTTCAACAAGACTATACAGAGGTAAAATCTATGGTAAACGACAAAAATGATCCATGAACTTTTGCTCAATATGCAATGTGATTCCTAAATTTTTAATTTGTTCAATGTAGTCCATGAACTTTGGGTACATATTTGATTCAGTCCATAAACTATATGAAAATATTCAATATTGTCCCTAAACTTGAATTAATGCAATGACAACATTGAACATTTTTATACAATCTAAGGATAAAATTGAACACGTGCCAAAAATCCAGGGATCACATAAAATAAATTAAAAATTTAAGGACAATTTGGGCTAAAGTTTAGGGACCACATTGAACAATTTTAAAGTTTAGGGACCACATTGCATATTGGGCCAAAGTTTATGAATCATTTGTGTCATTATCTCTAAAATCTAAAAAGAAAAAGTAAGAAAACATAATTGAATACACATGGTGTTGACACCTATTTTTAATTGCCCAATTAACGGAGGTCGATCGCAACACATGGTAATACCCATTTACAAATTAGAAACCGAAACATGTGATATGAGCGTAAAATTTACATGGTAAAACATAGTAATACAAACTAAAACTCTTCGCTTGTTCTAATGTAAAAATTACCAGATTATCAATCTTTAATACCGGGATCCAACGAGTGAAAGTACCTTGCAAATCCCCGTAGCACTTTCGTCCCTTGATATTTTTGTTAAGAGAAAATACCACTAAAAATCCTAAATTATACTCATTGTGATATCAATACCCCAACCTCTTTTTGGGTCATAAAAACCCCTAAACTTGTATCTATATATATATATATAAAAAGGAACTCTATCCATCCCAAAAAATCTTAAACTTTACCCACCTTAACACCTATATCCTAAACTTTTTTTATGTCACCAATATCCCAAACTTGTGCTAGTTTAGGGGCGGCAAATTTTTTTTTTTGGAGTATTGGTGTCACAGTGAGCATAGTTTAAGGCTCTGTTTATTTCACGGAAAATAAATGATTTAAAAAATATTTTCCTAAAAATGATGACTTGTATCGCTTATAAAAATGAATATTCATAGAAAAATTTAGACATAAATTATTTTTGATGATTAAAATATCTTTCATTTACTAATTATTTCAAATAATATAAGTGATCTTTTTTAGGAAAATGTTTTCCAAATCATTCATCTTCCATTAAACAAATGGATCCCATGGTTTTTAGTAACGCAAAAAAAGGTTTAAAGTATTGGTGCCACAATGGATATATTTTAAATTTGTTTTTGATATTAATCATTTTCTTCATATTGGCCAAACTAGAGAGCTATTGAAAGTAATTCATCAATATTTATTAAATATAAAGCTATTAAAACTAGTTCAACAGTATGTAAAGATTCACTAATAACAGATCGCGAAGGTTCTAAAGGATAAGGAGACAACCCTTCTAAAAAAGCAAAGTGTTTATGTCATGTCCCTCTTTTCCGTCGGGTAAAAGGACGGAAAAAAGGACTGGTTTAGGGTACTTTTAGGGTGCGCATGAATACCATTCTGTGCCCGGGAACTATTTCTGAATAGAAATGATTTTTTTTGATTCTGTGCCCGGAAACAATTTCTGAGTATTTGAAGGCGTTTGATAAACTGACTAAAATTTCTATTCCTAGAGTAGAAAAGAACAGAAATGCGTTTGGTAACTACACAAAATTTCTGTTCTCAAATAATATTTTAATAATATTTTGAATTATTTAATTTTTTTTTTCTTTCTACCCATTTTCTTCTTTGGCCATGGCCAGTCGCCGGCGACCGGCCACAGCCCAGGGCCGGCGAGGGCGAGGGTTGGACCCTCGCCGCCTGGGCGAGGCGGCCTCGCCGTTGCGACCCACGGCGAGGTTGGCTTTGCCATGGGTCACGACGGCGAGGCTCGGCCTCGCGATCTGGGCGAGGCCGAGCCTCACCGTCTCGGGCGAGGCCGCCTCGCCCGGGCGGCGAGGGTCCGCCTCGCCCTTGCCGGCGGCCGGCGAGGGCCGTGACGCCCTCGCCGGCCCTGGGTGTGGCCGGTCGCGTCGTCGGCCGCCGGTCGCCGGCCCACCGGGGAAGAACAACACAAAAATAAGAAAAGAAAAAAAGAAAAAGAAGAAAAAAAATTGATTCTCAAAATTGTGTCGAGAAACAAGAAGCAACTTTTTTTACTTCTTGTTTCTCTTCCAAAACTGTTTCTCGGCACAAATTTTTGCAAAAATGTGCCCGGGAACAAAAAGTTTACCAAACGCATTTCTGTTCCCAAACTATTTCTGGGAACAAATGAACAGAAATTTTCACTGTTTGGCATGTTGCCAAACGGACCCTTAAAGGTGGATCAATGGCTCTCAATTGGCACGAGTTCTCTCAAACCTTTACCCGTGGGATACTGAGATTTTTAATTTGAGTTGCGTTTGTTTCGCGAAAAGCTCAATAATAACGGAAAATGATTTTCGAGAAATCATTTTTTAGGAAAATAATTAGTTTTCTTTTGTTTGATGATATATGATCGAAATTGTTTTATGATATTTGGATTTCATTGAAAAATGGTTTCAATCTCATGACTTTATCTTAGGGCAAAAAAAAAATCGAATTTTTAAATTTAAAATTTTATTATTATTTTAAAAAAATTCAAATTTTTATTATTTTGTTTTGTCTTTAAAAAAATCAAAATTTTAATTATTTTTTTAATTTTATTTTTTGTCTTTTCTTTTTCTTTTTTCTTTTCTTTCCTTTACTTTTTTCCTCCTTCTTCCACCGCAACCGATCGATCGGCGACGGTCATAGGCGAGCTCGAGGCTTGCCCGGTGACGGCGAAGGCCACAAGTGGTCGAGCTCACCAACCTCGGCCAAGCCCGAGCTCGCGCGAGGTCAATGAGGTCGAGGCTCGCCGTCGTCGTGGCCAATGATCGGAGTAGGGAAGAAAAAAGAAAAGAATAAAATATTTAAAAAGTTAAGATAAGCAATTCCAAAAAGTGTTTTCACCTTCTTAAATTACGGAATTTATTTTCCTAATATTAAACATGAATATTTTCCTTGACAAAAAAGTATTTTTGGTTGACTTATTATTTTCAATGGAAAGTTCGGAAAACGAATTCCTGAAAAACACTTTCCCTCAAACAAACGCACCATTAGATTTGATTAACTCTATCAGAATTCTATGTAAGGAGTCGTCGCTAGCCTATTGGGGTCGACTAAAAACTAAGTGAGATATGAGAATATACTTCATTTCCTACGTAACCAGAGATCTAGGGTCGGGATCTTGATGACACTAGTTATCTAACTAGTATTCTTTCAGTACCTAAACTTGATTATTTGTCAACTAAGATGCCCAGGCAATCTTTTTACAAAATTATGAATTCTATGGTTCTTGTCTGCTAAGTGTCCATGCAATATTTTTGTATTAATTATAGTCCTAGAATGTAACATAACCATTCAACTAAGAAAATGAATCATAACATAACAAATGAAATAAAAGCAATCCCAATAAACACATAAAAAATAGTAATGAAAAAATGAGTAAAAGATATAGTGCAATAAAGAAATCCAATACATGTGGAGCAAAGAATATTACATGGTCTAGTTATTGAGCCATAGGACAACAATCCCCATAAGCTTAGTTCAAATTGAATTCAATTGCTTTTTTAAAGGATTAAGCTTCTAAGAATAAACTAAATCAATGGTGCCCTTTAAAACCCTAAACCATATGTGCACTAACTAAATTAAACTAAGCTACTTTTAAGCTAATTCTAATACTAAAATCTAGCAACCTAATAAAGGCCTATTTTTCTAACCGATTTTTCATTTTTTATTTTCGGAATTTTGTCATCACTTTTTATCTATTATTGTTTTTTCTATTGTTTTCAGGAAATGGGGAATCGGACTGGGCCTTCAGGCCCGGTCCGTATATGTAGACTACAGTTGGACTTTGCGGGTCTAGACCACGGACCACGGACACAAGTTGGGCTTTATTCCATCATACCCCTTTTTGATTATAAACTTCCATAGCCCATTTTCTAAAAAAACCCTATAAAGCCCAATTTCTATTTAAGCCACATCAAACTCTAAACCCAGCTCTTATCCCAACTCGTCTTTCACCATTCTGCCACTAAGCCCATTTTCCATCAGAATCAAAATGAGCCCATTATTGTTTTTCTCTTTTTAACCTCTTCTATTATTATTATTTCCTTTTATTCATTCTTGAATACTACTCACATGTGTAGTGAGTAGCTGAGCGTTAGGTGCACCAAGTCCATGAACGCCCACTTTTATCCATGGACACCATTTGTTGGGAATGTATTCGAGGAGATTGCCAAGACGAAACCCAAGTCTGAGCCCGTCAATGTATCAAGTTAAACTCACATTCACTCAAAAGCTTAAACCAATGAATTATGGGCGAACTAAAATATATTAACTGCTCCAGATCACATCGGTTATTTGATGTGGGAATTTTCTAACACTATTCATACATGTATCACAAAACCTATCGCCTTCTTCCGA